GCAGCTCTTCTTCCACCTGTCCCGGGAGCGGGTGTTCCCCGAGGACCGGGCGCGCTTCTACGGCGCCGAGATCGTGTCGGCGCTGGACTACCTGCACTCGGAGAAGAACGTGGTGTACCGGGACCTCAAGGTGCGGCGCAGCCTGGGGTGGCGGGGCCGGGGCACGGGGAGGGCGGGCTGACACGGAGGCCGCCTCCCGCAGCTGGAGAACCTCATGCTGGACAAGGACGGGCACATCAAGATCACCGACTTTGGGCTGTGCAAGGAGGGCATCAAGGACGGCGCCACCATGAAGACCTTCTGCGGGACGCCCGAGTACCTGGCCCCCGAGGTGCGCGCCTGCCCGTCCCCCTGACTCCCGCGCCCCGAACCCCCGCCCGCCCCCGCTGTCCTCCCAGGCGCCCATGTGGCAGCGCCCCGTGAGCGTGCCCCTCGCCCCCAGGTGCTGGAGGACAACGACTACGGCCGGGCGGTGGACTGGTGGGGGCTGGGCGTGGTCATGTACGAGATGATGTGCGGCCGCCTGCCCTTCTACAACCAGGACCACGAGAAGCTGTTCGAGCTCATCCTCATGGAGGAGATCCGATTCCCGCGCACGCTCGGCCCTGAGGCCAAGTCCCTGCTCTCGGGGCTGCTCAAGAAGGACCCCAGGCAGCGGTGAGCCCTGCCCCGGGCTGGCATGCGGCCAGTGGCCTGTCCCTGACACCCCCAGGGCCTGGCCAGCAGTCCCCACTCGTGGCCGGGGTGATGTCCTTGGTCCTGGCTGGCACAGGCCGAGGAGCCCCTCATCTGCTCAGGGAGACCCGGCCCTGCCAGCAGCCCCTGCCCACCGGTGTCCTGCCAGGGACCGGGGCCATGCTGTCCGGTGCTGCGCCCGACCTCAGCCAGTGGGAGGAGGGGCCTGAGGCCTGGCGGGGCGAGGGGGCAGGTGGGATGGGGTGGGGGCGGCACTGTCACGTGGCCTCCCTCCCCCCACAGGCTCGGCGGGGGCTCCGAGGACGCCAAGGAAATCATGCAGCACCGCTTCTTTGCCAGCATTGTGTGGCAGGACGTGTACGAGAAGAAGGTGGGAGGGGCCGTGCACACCTGTGCACACACACACCCAGCCGTTCACACCCACCCCTGCACACTCCCCTGCCTGTGTCCCCTGACTGCTGTCCAGGGCCCTCCCCGTTCCTCCATGTGGACTCCCTGCACCTCGTGCCCCATGAGGCTTGGGCACCAGGGTTCCCTTCTGCAGTGCTGCGTGCTGAAGGCTGCTGGTGGGGTGGGCGCGCCGCCTCCCTGCTCTCCTAGTCCCTCCTGCTGCAGGAAGGGCCCGGGTCTGCCCTCTGGGCATGCGGGAGCAGGGGTAGTGCCTGCGGGGAGGCCTCCCAGAGCAAGGCAGCTGCTTCCTGCCCCTGTGCCCCGTCCTTGGCCGTCTGAGGGGCCCGGGAGCCCTAGGCCTAGCCCAGGCTGGTGGGGCGGCCTGCAGGCCTGGGAAGGCGTGGAGCACACTTGCAGCCCTCTCCTCCCCTGCAGGCCCCACACGGCCACACGGCCCCCATCCTCCCTGAGACAGGGCACCCCCACCTGCTCCGCTTGTCCAGGGTCCTGCCCCGAGACCTGTCCCCTCCTGGCCCTGCCCTCGATGCTCTGCTGCCTAGCGCTGACCCAAGACCCCCTCTGCTGGCTCTCCTGGCTCTTGGGGGCAGCCCTGCCCCAGGCAGGGGTCTGGGGTGTGGGCAGGCTTGCTTCCTCCCGAGGCCGTGTGCTCCCTCCATCCCTCTACTGTTGCCCTCACGTCCTGCCTCGCAGCCTAATGCTGCCGGAGGCCACAGGGCCACAGTGGGGACCCTGAAGATGGGAGCCCTGAAGGGTGTGGCCCCCGAGGGGCCGTGGGCTGAAGAGGGCCCAGCTGCATTCCCATCTTCTGGGTGGAGAGTTGGGTGGGGAGGCCCAGGAGCCCCGTGTGGGCTTGGGGGGCCCATCACGGCGGGGCTTGGGCATAGCGTCCCCCTCACAGCCCAGCCATCTGGTTGGGGCAGGCACTGGCCGGCTGCTCCCCGCGTTCCCTCCTGTATTTGGCTGGCATTAGCTTCTGCTCCCTGGGCCTGTGGGAAGTTCATAGAAAAAACGCAGAAAGAACAAGAAAGGTAGAAAGAAAGAAAAGTGGGCTCGTCCCCTTCTGCCTGAGGGCGTGGGGGTGGGGTGGGGGCCCTTCGCAGCCGGGCTGCACTAACTGCTGTCACCTGCAGGGGCTGTGAGCACGGCCAGCCCTGCCCTTCGCCAGGGGCATGTGGGCATGGGTCCCCGACCGCTGCCCTTTCCTCCACGAGTCTCCCCAGAACGCTGTCTGTGGGCGGGCGACTGCTTGCCCTTTTCTCGGGGCGTCAGTGCTGGCTGGGGACACTCCACTGGAGACGGGGGGCATGGCCCAAGCCCGGGCTCGGCTCCCTGGGGGCCCGGTCCAGGGCCAGGTGCTCAGGTGCCTAACCCAGGCCCCCTTCCTGCAGCTCAGTCCGCCCTTCAAGCCGCAGGTCACATCAGAGACGGACACTAGGTATTTTGATGAGGAGTTCACAGCCCAGATGATCACCATCACGCCGCCTGACCAAGGTGAGGGTGGGCCCTCCTCTCCTGGCCGCAGGACTCAGAGGCTGCCCCCCGCAGGGAAGCCTGCCGTGTTCAGGCTTTTCGTGGAAAGGTTCCCTTTGGAGGGTGGTGATCAGGGTGGGAAGGCTGCAGTCCCCCTGCCCCGGCATTGCGAGCGTGGGGTCGCTGAAGCCTGTGTGGCGTCGGGGAGGCTAGCCTTCTGGGGTCGGCCTCGGATTCCCTGTTGCCCAGGTTCCGAGCCGCCCTTCCTGCCTGCCCTCCCACAGATGACAGCATGGAGGGCGTGGACAGTGAGCGGAGGCCTCACTTCCCCCAGTTCTCCTACTCAGCCAGCGGCACAGCCTGAGGGGACCAGCCAGGTGCGCTCAGGACACTGCCATGGGCAGCCATGTGCTCCGGAAGACGGCTTCCGAGGATCGGGAGGAAGCCTCGCGGGGGTGATCTGTATTTAATG